TGTATACCTAATGTAAATTTACATCTCTAATATTCATGTTAGACCTTAATCTGACCTAAAAAGCCTTATTTACACTAACAGAGGTAGAGAAAGGGGGAGGGGGGGGGGACTAGCAAGGGCGACGATAAAAAAAAAACTTGTAAGTTTTTATCAAGAAAATATATTATGTCCCCCTTCCCCTAAAAATTTATTTGTTTGGATTGACCTCCTAAAACTAATTTTCTGGTTTCTTCTCTTTGCACTAGTGTATAAAAGTTAAAATATTTCATTTAATTTGCTAACACGATACCAACACTAAATATATTCAAAATTATAAATATATAAATATATATTTAATTATCATTAAGTTTTGGAGATAAAATTTTAAATATAAATGTAAGTTACAATAATTTTTTACACACATTTGTGTATACATCAAAAGTAATATATCATGTATATTCAAAGATTAAAACTATAGAGATAGAGAGAGAGATTGAATATTTTTACTTGTGTAAAAGTACTATTTGTTTAACAAAGTACATCTGGTTTAAAAAACTAATATTTTATTTGAGCAAAATTGTGATAAAATCAAATCTTATTCCATTCAAAATTCAATAAATTTTTGTTTGGATGTGTTATAGGAAAATTAAGAGGGTGAATAACCTCTCTTTTAACTAGTTCTTAATTGAGGTTTAAATTATGAGTAATTCCATTTGTTCTTAGGTTCTAAGTCTATATATTCATGCTGCTTTGTTAGTTTCGTGTAGTAAGTTGTTTGCGTGGTGTTTAGGGAGTGAGTGGTGGAGTTGAGAGAATTTGAGGATATAAATGCATGTCTTTTCACTTTTGTGGTATCTAATTTTGACTATTTTAAAGATTTAACAAATATCGTCCATAACTCGACCTATATTATAGCTTGCAATAAAACTGCAACGTATCATAAATAGTACATAGCCCTCAGTCTCTAGTTTTTAAGATAATGAGACTAAATTATAGAGGTGATCATATATGAAGTTACTCTCTTCAAACTATATTTGTGTATTTTTTTCATTGGTCAGAAGAAAATATCAGGGACTAAAAAAATGTTGTTTGAAGTCTTTTTGAGAGAAGGATTTTTCTCGATATACGCTCCTTAAGAAGATGTGGTTGACAAGATTTTTTTATTGCAAATAAGCCTATTTGAATTAGATTCCAAACGAATAGAAAGATCAGTATGTATACCGATATGTAACATAATACTACAAAATCCCTTAATCTTAAGTTGACGATAATAATTAACAACATTTTAACACTATATCCCACATCCTCCTAATCATAGTGATATATGTGTTTCTTGACTCTTAAGATTCTTCATATAGTTATAACTTTTCATTAAAAAATAAACTTTGGGCAATAGTTGAAGTGTCACATATTGATATCAAGCAAGAGATAAATTAAATTTACATGTCATAGAGATAAGTTGAGATCACATGCTATACGATTTTCAATATCATTGAATAAATTAAAGATACTAAGTTTGCTCGAAAGATTTTGTAATATAAAATATAAACTTAGATCATTCTTTTCAAGGATACATATTGAAATGTATTCAAATATTAATATTATTTTCGTAAAATTTAAATTTGAGGGTGTGAAAATGTAAAACAATAATTGTAAAGCAAAATAGAAAATAAAGAAATCGAAATAAAAAAGATAAAGATGGATCATCCATAAATTCTCAATCAAACAATTTTTTTATCATAGCTATCTAAATATTTCAATCCAAGTTTGAATAATCAATTGATTTAATTAATCAACTAAACCAATTATATGAATTAAATCTCAATATTATTAAATTTAATTTGTATCTAATTATCAAATCAAGACTTAATTGATCCCTAATTTGAATTCTAAAAATAACATACAAATTGATATCTTAATATGCAAAATCGATATTAGAGAAGAGATAACAAACTCGGTATGAGAAATGATCGGTGCAAAACTCAATTTGAATTGTTTGATATTTATTCCATGAATTAATCCTCACAATTTAGTTCTCCATGAATGAAGAATGATGAAACAACTCAAACAAAAAAATAGAAAAATAGAAGAGTAAAAAATGAGAATAACACTTCATAAATTGAAAAACTAAACAAATGATTTATTGATATAAATTTAGAACACTTTTAGTCTATATAAAGACTTTCAAATCTAAAGTAAACATATACGTGCTCTAAGTCCATAAATCCAATTATAATTTATAAAATTTTAGCAAATTTATCTTAACTTTTAAAAATGGTAAAAAATAATAGAAAACTCCAAATCTAAGAAACCATGTATCCATCTAATAACCCTAAAAATATAGAATCTAATACAACTTAAATCAATAAAAAATAATATTTATAGAAAAAATTATGATCAAAATTGTAAATAAACTTATATTAACTAAATATATAAAATTAAAGTAAATATATATATATATATATATATATATTAAATATAATTTATTACTACTAAGTAAAAATAAATTTAAAAATAAAATAAAACATATGAAAATTACATTCACGTTTCAATAAAGGGTATAGAAAATATGTGCTGTTAAAGGCGAATCCAATCGTCTCCCTCCATATTATACTATATATATAATTACTTCTTAAAAATAAAATAAAAAAATATTTTATAAATATAAATATATTTTTTATCTTTTTAATTTTTATTTATAATAAATATTATATTTCTTATTTTATATATATTTTTATTTAATTTATTTTATATTTATATTAAAGATATAAGACAATAAATTAAAAAAAAAAGGAATACTCCCAATAAATTTTTTGAAATAAGGAAAGAATAAACAATTTTATTTTATTTATTGTTTTTTTTATTGTTATAATAAATTAGTAGTGATAAAAAATTATAAAATATTAATATAATTTTATTTATTTATTTATTATAAATTAATTAGTTTTTTAATGTTTTATGATTATCTGTTAAAATATAAATATAAAAATTTTAGATTAAATTTTAAAGATATTTAAAAGTAAAATTTATTAAAAATAGATGATAAATAAATTTTATTTTTCAAAATTTAAATTTAATTAATAATATTAAACATAATAATATATATAATAATTAACTTTTATAATTCACTCTATTTATCATAAGGATGCACCGGACAATCATTCATGATGATAAAAAAAACTTCAAAATATATGTTTATAATATATATATATATATATTCTTACAACTTTTTGCTTTAGTGAATTATAATTGTAATAAAAACTTTAAAATGTTTTTAAGTGAGTTTTCAGAGTACAAAATCATCCGATCACATTAATGATATTTATAATGTGGTATTCTTTCTGTAAGGTAAAATCTGACTGCGATCTCTATCTATACTCATAAAAAAATGATGTTTCAGTCTTTTGTCCTTTCGTATTCTTATCCTACCAAAAAGTTTAGTTACAACTAACCACCGCTGAAGCTAGTCAATCAATTCAAGCTGGCCTACACTTAGTCTCAGTCGGTGAATAAAGAGCCCTTCTATTCAAAGCACATCTCTCACGCGCCTCTTTCTCAATACCTATCAATAACTCCTCCATGTTTAGTTTATAAAGAAACAACCACTAATCAGTGTTATAGGTTTTGGTCAGTTCACTAACAATTACTTCGATATCCCAGTCAAAATCATCTTAAAATATCAAAAATAAATGATATTTTTATTTAGTTTGTTTAAGCTCATCGAGAAACAACAATTCACATGCTAACTGGCCCATAAAGCATGTCGGTGTGGATGTGATGTAGCATTGTTGATCGACAACAAATGAATTGGATTAAACATGCCATTTTAAAAAAGATACGCTCCAAACACCGAAACTTGCAATGATTAATATGCAAATTAAACATATTTTTTACAGGAAGAATAAAGGTTGATGATAATTGGTGAGATAAAAAAGAATAAAATGAAAGTAAAAAATATACTAAATGAATGATAAAAAGATATTAATGAATGGAGTAATATATTTAGAAAAAATAAAGTTTAGGGCGTAAGATTAGTGTTATAGAAAATGGTTTGAGAGCGGGATGCAGAAAAAGAACCAACAAGAATGGTTTGGGACCCATCAGAAAAAGGCAGAGCTATATATGGAGTAATTTCCACGTCGGCCTAAAAGAAAAAATTACACCATCCATCCAGCGTGCTTTTATTTTGCTCACTCGAGTGTCGGCAGGCTGACACTGTAATTGTGGTGAACCCACCACCACGTACTGCTAACTACGTAAGTAGTACTTTACAGTTGGACAAATCTATCAAATTCCTCAAAATCCAACGGCCACTACTATCTGTCCCACAATCCCACCACCTTGTGGATCCCATCACAACCATTTCACCACTTGTCCCTGTCATCCTCGCTGTCTCCACCTTTTCATATCTCTCCTCCAAAAATCACCATCCCCATATTCATTTCTCTGAACTAAATAAAATAAATCTTTTTATTCAAAATCTCATAAAATAATATTACGCATTTGCTAGAAACATTCCTCGTCATACTACGTTACAACAATTCGCTCGCAGATATTCTCAGTAAATCAAATTATAGAGAATCGTAACCTCCTTGTCCCTCCAGCGACATTGTCCGATTCATCAAAACTTCATTGATGAACGAACAGAGCAAAAGAAATTAAAAGAAAATGTAACCAATGAAATTGAAAGAGGAGATAAATCAAGGTTGAACTTCAACTGTCTTTCTTTACAGAAAAAAGAAAACGAAAAAAAAAAACACCAATTAATACCAAAAAAGAAAAGAAATCAACGAAGGAACAACAGCTTCTTTAGCTGACCTCCTAAGTAAAGAATCTATTCTTTATCCTCCTCTTCTTTTTCTCTACGATCCATTCGGTCTCGTTTCCCTTCTTTCCAAGACCAGGGGGTTCTTTCCCTTTTCTTTTTTTACAATGTCCGTTTTTATCTGTGGCTTAAAAACCTACCGTACTAAAAAAAAAAAAAAAAAAAAAAACTCCCGAAAAAAAAAAGGGAAACAAAATTAATTTACAGATTTGCCGTGATTGTAGCCGTAGTAGGAAAGGTACCACTTGACGAACTTTTTCAACCCGGTTTGCAAATCGGTCGTGGGCTTGTACCCGAGTTCTTTCCGGGCTGAACTAATATTCGCGTGAGTAAACGGAACGTCGCCGTTCCCAGGCATGTCCACGATATTCCTCTTCGCCTTAACCTTCAAATGTTTCTCCAAGATACTCACAAGAGTGGGCACAGTAACCGGAGAAGTGTTTCCGAGGTTAAATATCCGATAAGGAGCGGGTCCCCGTTTCTTCCCACCCGACCCAGTACTCTTGCCAGCGGTATCCAACGATCCAACGCATCCCTTCACAATATCATCAATGAAGGTAAAATCGCGAGCGAGGTCGACGTGGTCTTTGCCGCGGTAGACGGTAATAGGTTTTCCTTGTAAGATATTGCGGGTGAAAGAGAAATAAGCCATGTCGGGTCTCCCCCAAGGTCCGTACACAGTGAAGAATCTCAAACCGGTGATCGACAATCCGTAAATGTGATTGTATGTGTGAGTGATTTCCTCGCCGGCTTTCTTAGTGGCGGCGTAGAGGCTGGCGGGCTGGTCGGTGCGGTCCGATTCGGAGAAAGGGACCTTCTCGTTGAGCCCGTAGACGGAACTGGACGAGGCCCAAACGATGGCGGGCTGAGGATTGGCCGATTTGCAGGTCTCGAGAAGCGTGACGAGGCCCGCGATGTTGCTGTGGACGTAGGATTGGGGATTCTCCATGGCGTAGCGCACGCCGGCCTGGGCCGCGAGGTGCATCACGTGTGTGAAGGCCACGACGTCGAAGAGCTTGGCGAGGAGCTTGGCGTCGTTGACGTCGCCTTCGACGATGAAGACTTCGTGCGTGTTGAGGAGCGATTTGCGGGCTTTCTTGAGTGAGGGGTCGTAGTAGTCGTTGAAGTTGTCGAGTCCAACGACGCCTTCTCCGCGTCGTTTCAAGGCAAGGGAGACATGAGAGCCGACGAAACCGGCTGCGCCTGTTACGAGCACAGACATGCCTCCCTGACGGTGGATCTGGGCGGAGGTGCGGACTTGCTTCTCCCACTGGATCCCGCCCCAGGAGGCGGAGAGGTAGCGGCTACCGGAATCGACGAATCCTTGGAAACTGAGGTAGGATGCGGTGAGGGCGATGAGAAAGAGAGCCCAGAGGAACATGGTGCTGGTGGAGGCGAAACAGCGGTAGAGTTGGCGGTTCATGGTGTGGGCACGCTCGATCTTGAATTTGCCTGGGGTTGAAGGGAAGAGGTCGTCTTCCAACGGCGGCATTTTTATGTTTCCTTTCCTAAATGAAAAATGGATCTTGATTGGTGGTGATTGGGAAGCGGGAAATGAAGGGGGCGGATATGGTACAGATGCAGAAAGATGGAAAATGGGATTATTTTTCCTGCACCTGCTGAATGAAGTAATGGGATGGGTTGTTATATATACTGCTCTCCCACGGAGAAGCGACAAGCTAGCATACGCGTGAACGCGTTAAAGGAGGGACAGAAGAGAGAGAAAATCAACAGAGGAGCCTACACACTTAACAAGACTACAAAATAAACTCTCTCCTCTTTTTTTAGAGAGTTAAACCAACGAACTGCCCCTCATCACCCACATCAGTTTAATCTCGCAGATAAAAATGGAACCTTATTATCTTTTTTTTTTTTTTAATGCTCTACCAATTCTTATTTATTCCTTCCTTCCCCCTCTCCTCCATACATCTCAATTTCCCTTATTTTCATGGGCAATCAAATTTCCCTTGTTTTCTTTTTTTCCTCTGTTCAAGATAATAATAAAAATCCCATCCACTCTCAATCAAGTACACCAGACCTCACTCTAATGTTACGCTGCCTAATATAATCAACGCCTTTGAATGTTTTATTAAGTTTAGTTAAAGATCAACTGAATTTTATTATTTTTATTTTATTTTTAGTTAAACATCAACTGAATTACATTATTTTAATTTAATTTTTTAGTCAAACACCCACTGATCTAGGATCGGTTTAGTTTACACGATCAAACTCACTTTCATTAGATGGATATATAAGTTAGTGATTGGTTTAAGATATATAAGAATTACTGTATTAAATTTTAACTATTCTTATTATACGTTATCCTTCTTTGTTTGGATAAACACGTATTCATGGTTTAACGGTGAATTATTTAGGGTAATAACTAATGGTGTGTTAGATGATCTTAACTGATATAACTAAATTAAGAGAAACGAACATCACAATATTGATTACGTATCATTTAATTTAATTATGAAGCCTTAAACATACTTTGGTCAATAAGATTTTAAAAATATACACATTTCTTAATCATTAAGTTTTAAAGTAGAAGAGGTTTAACATTGATTATTTGAGCAAGTTCTTAAAGAGTATACAACTCCCTAGAATGTGCAAGAGGCTAAAAAAAATATGACCTATAGAGTATATACAACCTCTAATGCAATTCTCTACCTCGAGAGGGGATAAGCGATGAGTTAATGGTTCTGCTTAATTGGTTTGGTCATCAAAACTACGAATTAAACTGTTATAACATGGTCATCAAAGCTATTAATGCTCGTTTGGGAGAGAGGGGTCATGAATAGTCATGTTGATGCATAATAACTTACATGTTATAGATAGGTGAAACTCAAACAATTGTATTAAGAACCCTATGCCAAAACATTTTTATCCACCATATGTTCCTCTTTTACCAAAAGGGGCATAATTTTCTCAAACTTAATATATTGAATTATAGATAAATTTTAATGTTATTATAATATATTGTTATTAACTGTTTTATTATTTAATATAATAAAACTTTACTACAATAGAGAATAAAAATATAATGGACACATACCCAATCAACTTGAGCCTATGTGACCTATTAATTTGGACACACTTCAACTATAAAGAGAATAACCTATTTTAAATGAGAAATAATTATACTCATAAACCATTCACTCACGGTAAGAAATTAAGGCATTAATCACGTAATAATCGTATCAAAATTCAATTGTACTTAAAAAAATAGATCTATCAGATTTTAGAAATATATTATACAATTAAAGTTATTTATTTTTAAAGTCTTATCAAATATTGACACGAATTTGTAATAACAAATAAGTTTTATATTTTCAACATATTAGATTTAATTATTCTTTATTTAATAGTTTGTATATAAAATATGATATTTAATAGAAAAATATAACATAGATTAAATCTATAACTCCTCTCAAAAGGAAAAATCAACTGTGTTACTTAGAACTCGTTTATATGTTAAATACTAAAAATTGAAAAATTATTCAAAGAGGTGCTCATACAAACAAAAAATCCAATTTCAATTTATAATTTTTAAAAGTCATGTCTGGATCTCAATTTTAGTTTATTTAAATAAAAATAGCCAATTTTGAAGTAGCCAGAATTTCATAAACACAGTCCTAAATTTAAATTTGACTTATATATGTGTATCTTATTGAATTCTTATATAGATTGTAACAAAAATGAAAAATATCGTGACTAGACAAAATATGGAAAAAAATCCTTAGAAGTATCAATTAATTATATGAATAATAGTATGAATATGATGTGATCATTATCATGTTTCCATTTATTCTCTAAAGCAGTTCAGTTTTAAGCAATTCTTAATATTTAATTATATATAAAATAATAAAATGTAGGATTATGAAGGACGTGTGTCCCACTACCACTGGTCGCATAGGAGAAAAACAAACCTCTGTGTTCTTCTATCAAGGTATATCTTGGTTTTATTACAAAAGGGAAATAAAATATCTTATGAAAATACATAAAATGAAGGACAAAAAGGAAAAGGTGATACAATAAAATTATATAAACTAAGTTTTAATTCGTGTTCTACTTATTTATCACAATTTGAATATCTACATCTCCCGCTCCTTTAATGGCACTTCACCTAATTTGTCGTATAACTGAGTTTTATAAAAAAGTATCAGGTCTTCTGATGTCACAAGAAAAACAAATATTAGGGTTTATTCTCAACCTGTTTCACCTTTAAAATAATAACAATTCAGTACTAAAATTTATTTTTCATTTACATAATTTACATGTACACACATATATATATATATATATATATATATATAATTATTTTTAAATACAAATAAGTATATATATTAAATTTTATAATACTGATTATTGCCATTATCTTTCAAAAGCAAACTTAACTCCTTATTTTGGGTTTATTTTTTATCTCTATTAATCCATGTGACTTATAGTACTTAGTTTTATATATTTTTTATTATTTTGATATATCATTGTTTAATTTCAGTTTTAATTGTAATTTGATTTCAAAATTTAAATCTTGATATACTTTTTGCTTCCTATTGATTACCATACCAAATAATATATATACTTTTCAAAATAAATTAAACTTTTAACATTATTAAAATATAAGTTAATACTTATTATAATTTAACTAGCAAAATTTAAATTTGAACATTCTATATCATTAGAGATGATATATTTTATTCAAAAAATATAATTTTTTCTTATTTGATAGAATAAATTTTTTTCATTATAATAATAATATATATTACTTAATTTTCATTTATAGCGTTATAAATAATGAATAGTGTATATAAAATTTCCTTAATTTATTTTATAAAACTGATTTAAGATTATAATTTGATGCTAGAACATAAAATATATTAGAAGTTAGAAAGCAGGTTTTATTCGACATTGTATATCTGAAATAAAACATTTTGTGACAAGACATTGAAAATATCCTCTTTAGAATTAAATACATTAATTTAATTTATTAAGAAAAAATGGCTTATAAAGTTAAATAAATAAATAAAAAGCTTATACGTTTCTTTGACTTAATAGGTGCTTCCATTCCATGCCAATTGCCAACAGAGAGAAAAAGACGGTGAAGTTGATGGTTTTATCTTAGCTGGCGGATCATGGGAACATGTTCTCCTCCGCATCTGCATTTTGGAACCTTCCTTCATGTTTCTTCTCCACTTATTCAAATCATCAACACAACAAAATGCCAGATTTCTCCACCAAGCTAAATCCACAATAACTATTTTATTTGACATTGCTTCAATTTTAGGGTTAACATATTTTCCTATTTTAATTGCTTGCGAAATCAACTAAATGTGCATCAATGTAATATTGATGGTTACAAAGAGAAATTTAATGTCATGATATATCTACGACATTATGTTCGTGCAGCAACAAGGAAAACCCAAATTAAAATGTTTGATTTGGTAATTTTTACAAAAACACATGTAAGTATAATTTTTTTCAGGAACGAAAATCATCTAAGATTAATTTTTATATTTAAGATATTATTTATTTTAAATTTTTTTATAATTTTATTTTAAAAAAATATTTAAATAAATTAAAAGAAATATATTTAAATTATTTTTAATCTCAAGTATGTACGAAACATATTTTATATTAATTATTTTGTATACAGATATTTTTAATTTTAATTTATATTTTATTATAATAAATAATTGGTGTAATATTAATGTTTTAGGTTATTTGAGAGTTCGATTTTCCACAAAACTGACCCCATGTCATACCCAATTGTCATACATAGTCAATAAAAATTTAAATAATAAATATATTAATAATGAGGGAGGCTTGTTTAAGGAATTTAAATTAATTAAATTATTTCAAAAATAAAATATGATTCATTAAAGTTGTCAGTACTTTTGGGAAAAATTGCAAAAATTAGAAACGTGACTACGCAATAACTTTGACTTTATGAAAAATAATTTGAGAGATCTAATTTTCCTGCTGACCGAGTAAAATACAATTAATAAATATATTAGTGGTAAAAGATACTTTAAATTTTGAATGAATAGAAATATTTGGAAACAATATTAAAATATGGTTCATTGTCTCAAATGTATTTTTTTGAAAAATATGAAAATATGAAACAGAGTTTAATAATTAGATTAAATAATTTCCTTAACTTCAGTAATTTAGTTGACCGAATCTTAAAAAAAGAAAAAAATCAAGTAAAATTTAAATTTGGCTCTCATTCTCACGTGTACGTTGATTTGGTGCTCCCAAATTATACATAATAATCTAAATATGGATATAATTTGTTCTTTTTTAATGCGTTTTTTTCTTATTAAGTATGGAATAAATAACGACTAATGTTTTCTATTTTTATCTTATCATTCCATTTTACAGATAGTTTATTTTAATTGTAATATTAAGCTATTTTAAACACAAGTAGACTTTTTTTTTTCAACACAAATTTTACTCCATTTCTCAAATTTTAATCGGTCAAATTTTATT